ATTTTACTTGTTTTAAAATAATATATATGTATATGGGTTCTGTTTTTTTGCCAATTGTCAAAATAAATGACTTTTACTTATATTTCTTAATAGTATAAATATATACTATGTTGTTATTGGTATTAGGATCCTTCTGCAGTAGGAGTCTGTGACTTGTTAGCGATGAATAAACAGCACACATTTTACTTGTTTTAAAATAATATATATATTAGGAACAAGTTAAACATATGTACAATAAAGTATTCATACTATAGAGAATATAAGCATATTGTAAACGTTATATCAGTGTATGTATAGTTCTCCTCCTCTTGTCAAAAGTCCACTTAGGCCTGTTCAAATACATCTCAGTTGACAAGCCAAACTATTTTCTCTAATACTATTGCAATATTAGTCTGGTGTGATTCACTTAAGATTGAGGTCTTCTCTCTTCTGAAGATCCTGTGTTCCTTTTGTCAAAGTGCACTCAGGCTGATTCAATTACTTTAGAATTTTGCTTTGACGGAATAAGCTTATTTTTCTTGTTTCCATTTCCACTGTTAGTTTCACTCTAATATATATTAAACGTTAGGCCTATGTCAGTCATTAGGCCTCTCACTTTTACGTTACTTAACTTCAGACCAACTATATTCTCTTTGCTTTTATCTGTCTAATACTGTTTGTCTTCTGCTTTCCGCTCATCTCACGCAATTTATAGTTTTATTACATAGACGTCTGGTCACTTTCTGTATTCTCGACACCAATTAGTCATTAACAAAACGTTCTACAATCGTCTGCTTTTAACCGTAATTATAACAAAACTTAAAAATAATGAAATATTCACTCACAAATATAAATTAATCACCAATATTTAAAAACAAAACTTAAAATAATGAAATATTCACTCACAAATATAAATTAATAACTAATATGTAAACCAATCAGTCTTTTATATTATGTCAGCTAGTATTCTTGGCTTAGCCTTCTTGACTGTAACTTGAGGAACAAATTATTCACCAGCAAACTGCAAGTTCAACCGGGTGTTTATGTAAAGATGTTCCTTTTCATCTGTTAAGATCAGTTAATCAGTGATAAATTTATTTCTTAGACTTTCACAAGTTATATAAGTAAACTTTTCCTGAGTTGCCAAGTCTTTAGTTTTGTATAATCTGTTTTTATTCCACTTCAGTGTAAAGGAGTACAAAAATAACAAGTTCTTTCTTTGTAAAGTGCATTAACATATTGGCTACCATACACCATATATATATATATATATATATAATTTCAAATAAATACTTAAATGTCAGTTATTTTTCTTCAAACATAAAGCAGTAAATAAAAAATATTTGGAAAACAATGATTTCTACTACTTACGATGCTACGAAGTCTTTGCTTACACTCGTGAGCCATACTTGCTAAGCCTCGTCCAAATTCACACGTGGAGATGGAAAAATAATAATTTTTGTAGACTTTATATAAGCATTTTGAAATACAAAAAAATTATAAATTACTATACCAATACTCCAAAAATTCACAGTAATTGATCAGGCTTCCTAACTAAATTGTATTTGGGTCTGATAAAATATAATTTCTATTCACAAAATAGCCTCGATAGCAATACTCCAAACTTTCCAATGATATAAGAGCATTTCTCTCTTAAGTAACTTGGGAAGACTGACAGAATTATTTAGAATAAATATATAGCTTTTGATTTATTATTGGTATATAAAAGTAGGCATCGATAAATATGTTTTCTCAAATGATGAAGTAGTGGGTGGAGCCAATATGGTTGGTTCGCTAAATATCATGATATCTCAACAAATAGAAAAGGTAAGAGGTTCTTATTTTATGTTCTAGCTTGCCAATATCGAACATTTGATTTTCTAATTCATACAAAACTATAGATGTTGTATTGTGGGCATCATAAAATGTAATCTGACCAAACCCAGAAGACCATGTACTATGTGACACACAAAAATCGTATTTAGCCTTTTTTTTAATACCTAGTTTCAAATTAAGAAACTAACTAATGTATAATACTAAAATTTGAATTATAATCTACAATTTGATACCAAACTTAGTGACGTACATCCATAAAGTAATAGCTAAATAAAATGTTGAATGTAATTCTACAAATGTGATGACATGCCCTCTGACCCATACTTACATTGATAGGGTTAATGTGTAGGTTTCACATAACACATAGTCACAAAGTCAATTTACTTTTGTTCCAGCTACTTTTGTTTTGTTTTGTTTTTCATTCTCTTGAGATTACACCTGATATGCCTGTGTTGGAGAAAAAGGTATATCTCCACCTTATGCATGAAGATTGACTACGGTGTTCTCCAATGGTAGACCATGTGATGTCTTGAGGTTATAACCTCTCTTAGGGTTTCAATGGGAGTGACTGACACTGTCATAGGTGGTGCATGTGTCCTTAGAATATAATATTATAGGATTTGGTACATAATACTATGACCTATTAATTACCTCTCTCCCTCTCTCAAGCTCAATCCCTTAAATTTGGTAAGTTTAACTTCTTTCTGTAACTATTAATACTCTTCTGAAGTTTAGCCTGCAACATTAATTCCTAATAAACATCTTAAGTTCGTAGGAGAGATGAAAGAGATAACAATCAAGTAAAGGTGCTGTCATTCATCTTATTTAACTGATTGTTTTTCAGTTTAAATAAAGATTTGCTTTTATTTTGTTTTACATTGTGTCCAGTTTCTTTCCCTCTTAAACTCAGTGTGAAAACTTGGAATTACTTCATAATAAATATCTTTTCAATTCTCCCATTATTCTGTGGACCTATCTTGTCACTCTAGAGGGAAATCGGGCCCGGCATAGCCAGGTGGTTAGGGAGCTCGACTCGCAATCTGAGGGTTGCGGGTTCGCATCCCCGTCACACCAAACATGCTCACCCTTTCAGCCGTGGGGGCGTTACAATGTGACAGTTAATCCCACTATTCATTGGTAAAAGAGTAGCGCAAGAGTTGGCGGTGGGTGGTGATGACTAGCTGCCTTCCCTCTAGTCTAACACTGCTAAATTAGGGACGGCTTGCGCAGATAGCCCTCGTGTAGCTTTGTGCAAAATTCAAAACAAACAAACAAACTAGAGGGAAATTAGTTTTTCTTGAGATTACCACATTTAAAATACTAGTGGAGTTGATGGTGCTGCTCTTTTTAAAATTATTTTCTGCTTTAAAATAATGATATTTAAACCTAATTATATCAGTTGATTCAAGAAATTTATATAGAACATTTATGCCATGATTAACAAATGTCTTCTTGAATACTATTGTTATTTTGTTCAATGTACTTTCTCTCTAGTTACGTATAAATCCAAAGTACAGTAATAATGCATACACTTTATTTTATATCTCTGTGATAAATAAGGTTTTTTTATTAATTTTTTAAAGCTTTTCAAAGAAGCACAGGAATGCTTAACTCGATTGTCTCATCGACTTGGTGAAGATGAATTTTATTTTGGTAAAAAGTAAGTTTACAATTTATATTTTATTGATATTCTAATAGTGAACAGTACATAAATAAGTTGGTAGTAAGTTAAAAATGATTTATGTGTATTTCTTCAAGATATAGAGGGAAGATGACAAATAGGTACTGACTTATGATGTGACAATTTACTATAAAGTGAGTTGATAGGCTTCGTCAGTTTCACCACCATGTAACAAAGAAATTATACGTACTATAAAATGTACTAGGTGTATTATCTTCATGAGTTTGGCAAGCTTTTAATAAACATCATAAATATGTTGTACACAAAAAATCAGATTTCTTAGTAAAGATTTGTAACGTATTTTTACTAAAGATTTGTTTGTGAATTTTCAAATCCTTTGCCAAGTCATTCTGAGAAAAAGATGATTTTTTTATGCTACGAATAGAAATACCTTTTTTTTTCCTCTTATAGTTTTATTATTTTGTTTACATAACCTCTAGAACTTCCTAAATGAATATCCAAAATTTTGTTGGTAAAACTTTATTTTGCATCTCTTATTTTCTCTGCCCTAACACTAACTGTAGTGACATTATCAATGTACAGTAGACAAAAAGTTGAAAAATGTAAAATAGTTGTTTCTAGAATGAAATGTATATTGTAAGATATTTACAATTACTTATCCTAACAACTTCGGTGTCTTAACCTTTTCACAACTGCTTTCTACAAACCGTGTCTAGCTAGTGTGGCAAAACAATATATCACCTAGCGAGAGTTTAGGGTAAGCAAACTATAAAGTTGCATCATGAGTTGGCAGCCTTCCAAGGAAGATATAAAGTTCAGTTAGCTAAATTGTGAGTAAAAGTTCAGTAGTTTGCTGATTGTTTAATCTAAGCTTCATTTTAAGGATTAGAAGCACCTCATTTGCTCATACCATAGTCTCTTCTGACTTTACCAATTACTTTGAACATACTGAAGGTTGGGATCACACCACATTTGCTTAATGATTGTTTAAAGGAACATTCTAATCCTAGGTTCAAGGACAATTCAGGCATTGTTTGGCATGCATTAGGGGCATTTACATCAGATTGACTGTTAGAAGACTGAGAGATTGTTTAAAGGAACATTCTAATCCTAGGTTCAAGGACAATTCAGGCATTGTTTGGCATATTCTCAGTCTTCTAACAGTCAATCTGATGTAAATGCCCCTAATGCATGCCAAACAATGCCTGAATTGTCCTTGAACCTAGGATTAGAATGTTCCTTTAAACAATCTCTAACAGTCAATCTGATGTAAATGCCCCTAAACGTTTGAGCAATTCTCACTGTAAAAGTTCCAGGGAATTGATGGTATGGTATGTACGAGACGTAAGACATTTCACAAGGTTTCTTTGATATGATGTGGAAAAAAACACTAAAACTGTTAAAGTAAGTGTACAATCTGATGTGGGTGAGTTCTGATAACAACCGACATGAAAACAGAACAAAGCACTGTTGGCATTCACAGGTGAACTTAACATTAGGATGAAAATATATTACAGTTTCACTAATTGATATTCATTTTTGAATATTTCATCAAAATGGCAATTGTAAAAAGTGGTTTGAACTCAGTAGGACAATCCGTCAACCAGCTATTCTTATGAAAGTACGTGAAAACATTAACCATTACAGTTGCTAAGCTAGACCCCATGCTGACTCCATCAATCTGTTCACAAAATTAACCACTGAACTGAAAAAAACAGTTTTTTTGTAGCAAATTCCATCAGTTGTCTGAAAGATTGTCTACCTAATCCGTTAACATAATCCTTATCTTTGAAAACAAGATTAACATAAAGATTAATAGCTTCATCTAGGGGAAGGTTAATGAACAGAGATTCAATATCTAGACTGGCTAAATGATCATTGTCATCAAATCTCAAATTTCTAACATTATCAGGAAAATCAAAGCTGTCTTTCACTGTGTTACTATTTAAAGTAAAATCAGTTAAAAATTAACATAAGAATCTGGATAGTTTGTAATTAAAATAGTGTATGTTGGAAACAATAGGGCAATCGTATTTGTAGTCCATAAAGTTTTATAAGTATTATCATCCAGAGCATTACTTATAATGACATTAGACCAGCTGATTTCCTTACTGGCACACTTCAATTGTCAATTTTATGAACAGATTGATGGAGTCAGAATGGGGGTCTAGCTTAGCAACTGTAACTGCATTATATTTTTAAAGCAACTCTATAAAAACTTCATGTCATGTGCACCTTGAACCTCCCATGTCCATAGTTTTAAACCAATCCTTGGCAGTAATTTAGGTTTAAGATCTTTCAAGCCACAAAGAAAAATTGCGGCCCGAAAGACAACGCGGAATGGTCAGAAACTTTGGTTTCTTTTCACTATGAATAGTTTTAAGCACAGAAATAATTACTTTTATACTTGTAACATAACTTACAAGGCCTAAGAAGGTAGTTATGGATACAGTTTATGTATCTATGACAAATAGGCATGATGTGTAACATTTTAATTATTATTATATTATAATAAAGGGAGGCACATAGATAAAAAATTGAAAAGAAAATCTGTTAAATTTTTACTTGCTAACTATTTTCATTTCAGAAGATTTTATTTCGTAATGTTAAGTCTGTTTTATTACTGTACATATTATAAATTTTTATTTGCTAACTATTTTAATTTCACAAGATTTTATTTCTTAATGTTAAGTCTGTTTTATTACTGTACATATAAATTTTTATTCGTTCCCATGATTTATACTTTATATAAACCCGCCAACTTTGAAGGTGCACTAGTTATAACGATGAGGAAATTTTTTCTTAGAAAAGAAATCACAATAT